AAAAAAGAAAAAAAGAAAATGGTTTTTGTGCATTGTGTATTTTAGAAAATAAAATATAAATATAAAAAGAAGGAAAGAGGAAAATGGAAAATAGAATAAAAGGAGTACGTTAAAAAACAAAAAATATGACATAAAAAAGGGAAATGAAACAGAAAACCAAAAGAGAATCCGACACATAACCGAAGGAACCACAAAAATTGGTAACAAAAAATCGAAAAAGAATCGTGAACACTCGCTTCCCTACAGGCCCATGATGGTTCACTCCGTGTGAAGTGAATCCCTAACACCTTGACGCGGTGAGAGTCATATATGGTTTTCTAAATGCTTACATACCCTAATAAAAGTCACGAAAGGCTATCATAGAGTGTCAGAAAATGCAAATAGTATATTTTCTATAATATACACTAAAAACACTACAAAATAAAAGTGGATATAAACATACACAATATTTTTAGTCCACTGTCGCAGATATATCGTCCATGTTTTAATGTTTTATACATTATGAACTGCCAACATGAATCGTCGACAAGCATGTCATCAACGTGCAAAGCACGTGCCACTTACTAGTCCATCAACACACACACACACACACACAAAGAGAGAGAGAGAGAGAGAGAGAGAGAGAGTTGGAGGAGACCGATGGCCATGGCAATGGCGGCGCTACGTCGATGCAGCAAAACTGGCTCCGGATCATGTCCTCCCACATCAAGCCCAGCGCTGGCACATGGGGCGTGGGCCGCGGTGCTCGGCGAGGCGGACCTGCATCGGGGGCGGTGGGTGTGGCCATCGGCAAGGCGGACCCGAAGCTGAGGGAGATGGTAGGAGGCAGACCTGCACGGAGGATGCAGCCATGCGTTGACGATGAGGCGGGCTGGCCGAGGTTTCTTAAATACACTTACCCCGCTGAGCTCCAGATGGCGATGGCGCCTCTAGGTTGAGCAGTGGCGGAGCTACGTTGGGGCAAAATCTAGCCCTGGCCCGCCCAGTGTAGCACCAAATAGTGAAGAGAGGCTCTTAATAGGAAAATTAGTGAAGTTAGCTTTAATCTGGTCTGTTTGCCCGCCCAAGAATTTTACCCCTAGCTTCGCCACTGGGTGTGAGGCTCCTCGTTGGCGTCGAGGAGCAACCATCGCCGTCCCCTACGAAGCACCGGGAGTGGTCGCCTCCGCCAGCTCCCTGGCCCCTGCCCCTGTCGACTCCACTCGTGCCGGTTGGTACAAGCTAGCCACCACTTGCCACCTGTACCAAACAGGTATGTACATCCGGCGGCTGAAATCGGTGCTTACGAGTTGCCTGCTTTAGTTGATCTATACTTCACCTGTTTGTCTTCAGGAATTAGTAGTGGTTGCTACTAGGAGCTACTAGTTGCTACTAGTTGTGCGAATGGGGCTATGCTTGTGAGTCTGCAGGGACACAGAGTGGATGCTATTCACATGGCAAATTTTAGTTCAAGTTGCCATGGCAAATTTCAGTTTAAGTTGCCTAGGCAAATTTATTGTAAAGAGCATGTCAATTTTAGTTTAAATACGATGGCAAATTTACATTTTCAGAACATGGCAAATTTTACCATGTAGCTTCTTAAATATACTTGCTTAGCCGTGGCATTTTTTAATTTATTTCGATGGCAAAAGGACTGCATTTTTGCCATGGCAAAAAGTAGTTCATTTTTGCTATGCCAAAAGTTCACTCCATTTTTGCCATGGCAAAAATACTTTTATTCACATGGCAAATATTTATTTAAGTTGTCATGACAAATTTTACTTTAAGTTTTCATGGCAAATTTATTTGTAAAGAACATGGCAATTTTAATTTAAATATGATGGCAAATTTGCATTTCTAGAACATGGCAAATTTAACTATGTAGCACGGTAAATATACTTGTATGGTCATGGCCTTTTTTTATTTATTTCCATGGCAAAAATTATTTTTTGCCATGTAAAAATTTACTCCATTTTTACCATGGCAAATTTAACTCTATTTTTTCCATGGCAAAAGTATTTTTATTGACATGGCAAGTTCCTGTTTAAGTTGCCATGGCAAATTTATTGTGAAGAGGATGACAATTTTAATTCAAATTTACATCTCCAGAACATGAATTTTTTTTACGATGTAGCATCTTAAATATACTTGCATAGCCATAGCATTTTTTAATTTATTTCCATGGCAAAAGGACTGCATTTTTGTCATGGCAAAAATACTTTTTAGTCACATTGCAAATTTTAGTTTAAGTTGCCATGGCAAATTTCCTGGTTTTTAAAGACATGGCTTTTATTTGTCATAGCAAAGAAAAACAAAATTATGGCCTTTTTATTATGTTTCGCTACTGGCTTTTTTCTCCGTTTTTATATTTGCAGGAAAGGGCGCGAACCGAAATCGTTCCTATTTCGGTCTGGGAACGTTCAACCAATATCGACATCCTAAAAAAAAAAGTCTGCAGTGACCCCATCCTACGGTATACGATACTCCTGTACCGTATCGGAAGCGAGTCCTATACGGTCTGCTTCTACGCGCGTCAGCTCGAAGGCAAAGCAGAGCCAACAACTCCCGCCCCGCGAATTCGAATACGAAGAGGAGCCGCAAGCGCTGGCGCGCCGGCGAAGAAACGCGGGAGCTCGCGAAGCCAAGAACCCTAGCGCGATCGATCGCGAGCGAGTAGTATAATAAGCCAGGAGGACCAAGAACTCGATCGATCCATCGACCGCCCGAGAACCCCAAGCCAGAGGGAGCAAAGGACTCGCGCGCCCGCTCCATCGAGAACTCCAGCGAGGCCAATGGAGGCGCCGCCGCAGATCCGCCAAACCCTAAGCGAGATCAGCAGCCGGACCCCCGCGGCCCTCCGGATCGCCGTGGGCATCCGCCTCGGGAGCCTGCCGCCCTCCGCCGCCGCCGGCCGCGAGGACGTCGCGAGTTACGCCGCCTCCCTGGCGCGGCAGCTGCAGCCTCGCGCGCGGGGGAGCAATCCCCCCACGGGCGCGGCCTTGAGGATGAGCGCCGCGTCGTGCTACTTGCCGGAGCACGACGAGGACGCGCACTTCTTCCACGCCGTGGCCGGCGTCATCGGCGTGGCGGACGGCGTCGGGGGATGCCGCCTGGAGGGCCTGGACGCCGCCGCGTTCTCGCGCGGGCTCATGGCGAGCGCCCTGTCGGAGGTCGTGGCGTCCTCCTCCGCCGCGCCGCCGCCCGGCGGCATCTGCCCCTACGCGCTGCTGGAGAAGGCGTACCAGCAGACGACCGCGTCCGGCACGCCGGCGGCGTCCACGGCCGTCATCGTGTCGCTCGCCGGGAGGGCCCTCAGGTGGGCGTACGTCGGCGACAGCGGCTTCGCCGTGTTCCGCGACGGCCGGATCCTGCACCGGTCGCAGCCGCAGCAGTGCTACTTCAACTGCCCGTTCCAGCTCAGCTCCGACTCCGACGACAGCAACAAGGTCAGCGACGCGGCAGTGGGCGAGATCGCCGTGGAGGAAGGCGACGTGGTGGTGGTCGCGTCCGACGGGCTCTTCGACAACGTGTTCGACGCGATGCTGGAGAAGATCGTGCAGTCGGGCCAGGCGCTCAGGTTCACGCCGAAAAACATGGCCGACATCATTGCCAGCCAGGCTTACGCCGCGGCGAGGCGTACCCAGGACACGCCCTTCAGCGTCGCCGCCCGGGAACACGGACGGAATAAAACCGGAGGGAAGAAGGACGACACCACCGTCATCGTCGCCTTCATCCAGTCTCGGGACATGGCATGATCTTACCATAGCTACCTAGGGATGCAGTGATGAGCATCAGTATAGGAGTTAGCATGGTCGTATCATATGTAGTGGTGTCTGTTATTACATCAGGAGTTGGTAACTTCGTATGGTCTTGCTACCATGAGACTTAGCATGATCTTACCGAAGCTACAGTGTGTCATCACATTCCTAGGTTAAATCAATTATATTATTCTTTCTTAGTACAATGTATTACTGGCTTCCTTGGTTAAAAATTCTTTGGAAATGTATTACTGGCTTCGTTGGTCAAAGATTCTTTGGAAATGTATTACTAGCTTCATTGGGTAAAGATTCTTTGGAAATGTATTACTAGCTTCGTTGGGTAAAAGCCATCATAAAACTACAGGATAAGAGAATCGAGTACCGCCTGACGTTCCTCATTTAAAAAGGCACCATCATTTGTCAAAACAACCTGTACTGGAAGTGAAAATTTTCCAGTAGCCTCATCAGCCACAACCAAGAAACTGTTACAGCATGAATAGTGATGAAGGGTTAGGGTGACAAAGCTACTAAAAGCCATCACCAAAACAACTGGTGAGTTCCTACATGATCACCCTGCTACTCCTAACCAATATCGTGTATGAATGCTCCACCTTCCACGGGGAGCCTTGCCACCAATCTCTCGTACTGCCGAGCTACCCTCAACAGTCTGGATCACCCTGTTTTCCTTCTGCGCAACCTGAGTTCCTCATGACTCTATTTGCATTATGTGGCGCTTGAATTCTTGTAATCACTCAGAACTGCAGAGTTGGAGCCTGTGACAAATAGATACATATCTGGTGCTCAACAAGGATCAACTGTGAAAAGAAGACAAGGCTGTTTCAGAGCAAAGCACACTTTGTAGAAACCTGTAAACAAGTTATAAGCCGTACATAAAGCATTAGACAAACAAGGGGGCTGAGGAGCAAAAGGAGAAACCCGCCCCAAAAATCTAGGGCTTCGTGAATATGAACTAAATCCTTTTGTGTTTTCTTTCATATATAAAATAAAATGTAAACAAAGACTACTAAACCTTGTTCGGTTAAACCTCTCTCAAAGAGGATTGGAAAGGATTTGAGGAGGATTTTGACTTGTAGGGGATTTCATCCTCCTAAATCCCCTTCAAACCTCTTCCAACTGAACAAGTCCTAATTGTGTTGAATGAACTAAGATGAAGGAAAATAAAGCACAAAATGCTGAACCAGCTTGTGATGTCTATAAGGAGAGAAAAGGTACCAGAAGTAACTTCAGTGTGGAACAAAAGGTTCAGAAGTCATATTTTGTTCTGCCACTCTTCAAGATTAGGCACAACATATCAGATAATTGAGAGGTTGAATTGTAGAAATCCCATGCCTCGAGCATCAAACGCTTTCTTGAACCTTTGAAATGGACAACCTAAGAACATTATATCAGATTTGGCATGTTATCATATATTTAATGAAAAAAATGCTGGATATATTAACATGCCCCAAAATCAGCAAGCGGAACACTGGACAAGTGGCAACAATGAAAAGCAGTGTACTAGTAATATAACTGTGCAACTAGTGGTTAAACAAAGCTAAATTTTATCACGAGGAGAACATGGATAGAATAAGTTCTTAAGAGTAGGAAACATACTGTACCTTAACATCCAAGGGCATACCATGAAACTGTCCAGCACCCTCAGGTGGAGTCCAATTATAAACTTCACAAGGCAAAAACAGAACAGATGCTCCATTGACTTCACCAGTAAATGTTTCATGCCTAGAAAACTTCCCAAAGGCTGATGGTAGATAAGACTTCACAACCCATGCCAGTGCTAACTGATCACCAAGCATGCGGGACGCCTTCATATACTTTAGATTGTATGCTTTAAGAACCTCGTTGAAGAAGTCGATAGCCCTGAAAGCAAATGACGGAATTATTTAACTCAATGCCAAGTTTTCATACCAAGATCTGTTACATAGATGTTCACTTACTTAGAGATGCCATCTCTGGTCCCTCTCACTGCTACAAATCCAGAGTTCAAGGGTTGGCCTTTGTTATTACGAAAAGTAAGAGCAAGGTGCCAATGAGGATAGCTCGTGAAGATATGTCCAAGATCCTCAACCACTGCCATATCAGAGTCAGTGAAAACAACACAGTTCACACGGTCAACCTCCTCAAGTTTTAGCTCTAGAAAGGCCTACATATGGACCAGACACACAAATATGTCAGTCTTCTGAAAAAATTAACACATACAGATGGTTGCATGCAGTAATATTTCCAAATCATGCAACCAGTACTTCCGAAAAAAGCATATGCAGGAAGATGTTTGCATGAAGCATACAAACTTACAATGTAGGACTTGATCCTCTGAAGCATCAGGTTGCCCCGAGAATAATTTCCCTCGATAGGCAGTATTGAGGCCTTCCCTTGATTTATTGACAACTTGGATTTAGGATCAGTCAATATTATCACATTGCTTTTTGGCATTGACACCTACATAGTTCTATAAATAAGATCAGATGTTAAGCAAACATCCTTGCAATCGATAATGCAGGAAGATCATGTGTTCCTTCTACTTTTTGAGGATTCAATTTATATGCCAGAAGGCAATCAAACATACTACATAAAAGAAGAGGGGAGTCAGAGTGGTATCAATGTTCTATTTACAGTGTTCGCTGTAATTTCTTCTCTTTCTCTACTACCATTGAACTACTCTCAGTATTCTCTTAGCTGACAGTGATTATGAATCATTCCCAACATGATAAGAAATTCAATTATCTTCATAGTTAGTGGACAGCACAAACAAGAGGAGAAGGAAGATCCACCTGTATGAAGCTGATGAAAGTGTTAAGAATGGCCATGGACCTTTCCTCCTTGCTATAAAAATGCTTTCCAACAGTTACAACATCCGATGACCGTTTGCCAGCCCCAGCTGGGTCAGAACTATAGGTTGTGAATACTGTAACAAAAGAAACATGCTCTCCCGGTTCACTTGACAAGCTTATCTTATTCACAGCTTTAAGTCCTGGAGAAAATGGTAAAATGCAGTCAGTGGATACACAATAGATGCTGATTCCGTTCACGCTGCAGAAGTATGAATAATCTTATGTGGTATCCTGCAGCATTAACTGGCACTATTAAGCATACACAGGACATTCTAGACCGTGATCAAATTTACATTCAGAACAGCATGTTACAATCTTTAAGCACTGATAACGGGATTCTCGTTTCCTAATCTCCTTGGAGTTGTTTCAAACTGGTACAATGCAGTTAGAGCTTACAGTGCAAATGAGAATCACAAGTCACAATGCGAGCAACCGAAACTAAGAGGAGAAACCTTGGCACTGGAGGCGATCGGGGCGGCCCTGGCCGGCGGCAGGGCCGAGCACGAAGCGGTCGGGACGCTTCGGCAGAGCGGGAGGCGGCATGCCCAGCTCCCTCTCCGGCGCCCAGCTCAAGCGCAGCCTGGAAACTGCAAGAAGCGACACCAGATTGGATCGTCAGCAGGGCGAACCACGCAGTGTGTGTGCTGGAATCGAGGGGTGGAAGGCGTCGCGGGGCCGTACCGGAGTAGATTAACGGCGCGAGGAGGATGAGGAGCAGCAGCGGGATGAGGGGGACGCCGCGGCTTCGGGGCCTCGAGATCGCCATGGAAGCGGCGGCAGCGGAGCGAGAGCGAGTTTCCCCTCGGCGGCGGCGGTGGATATTTTACATTCAGCCACCGTTCTTCCGCGTAAATTGCATTCGTGCGCTCCAAACTCCAGAGATTCCGTGAAGCAAGGGAAGGAGGGCTAGCAATGCAAATATCCAACTTCACAAGAACTTTCTCAGAAAAAGTAGAGCACCGCCACGCCACCGAGTGATTCTGATTCTCCCGAGCCCCATCGCCATGGCGCCTCTGCCCCGCGGGAGGTAAGCGGCAACACAACGCAACTCCCAGCCCAGAGCCCGCGAGACCATTCGCCCCCTCTCCATCCCCGCCCGAGCCCTCTCGTCCAGGCCGGCGGCCGGGATGTCCTCGTCGTCCGCCGCCGCCGGCGCCTCCGTGCCGGGGGCCACGCCGGCGGACGCCCTCCGCCGCAACCGTATCATCTCCAGCAAGCTCTACTTCGACGTGCCGGGCTCCAAGGTCAGTCGTCCGTCCGGGAGACGCTCCTCCGTTCACCCCCGATCACCCGTTAATCCGTGGCTGCGGTTGCCTGGCAGGCTCCGGTGGTCTACTCCACGGCGTACGACATCGCCTTCCTCGGCATCGAGAAGATGTGAGCTGCTCTGCTTCCCGCCTCTCCTCCACCGTCTGCCTAGCTGCGTAGACGTGCATCGGACCATGGCTTACGCGCGTCCTGTGATGTGCAGGCACCCGTTCGATTCCTCCAAATGGGGCCGCATATGCAGGTTCCTCACCAAAGAAGGCCACCTGGAGAAGAACCGAGTGGTGGAGCCATTGGAGGCTTCCAGGGAAGACCTGCTGGTGGTAGGAAACAATCTGTTTTCACTTGGTTCATACTGTCTGATACCCTTTAAGTTTGTTCCATGGCTCTGCTTGGCCAGGTTCACACGGAGGCATACTTGAACAGCCTCAAGAGCAGCTTCAGGGTTGCAGCCATTGTAGAGGTACTAGTTTCTCAGGGGAAGTTGAATTGGTGGCCTGATTGATAGTTTGATACTCCCTCCGTTCACAAGACTACATACGTACTGAAATGAGTGAACAAACACACTAAAGCGTGTCTATATACGTTCGATTCAGAAAAAAAAAAGTTAGAACGTCTTATATTTATGAACGGAGGGAGTAGCAAATTACGATGGCACGGTTTGCTAAACGAGATGTTTTATCTCAGGTTCCTCCATTAACGCTCATTCCTAATTGGCTCGTACAGCAAAGGCTACTGTACCCCTTCCGGAAACAGGTGATCTCTCGTGATTCGGTGCTCCCGTCTGTACTGAGAAGTACCAGGTGCATAATTTGGGTGCCACTGCCAGGGAAACTCTGTAAGCTAGTTCTTTCTTCCATAGGTGGGTGGGTCCATTTTATCAGCTAAACTTGCGCTTGAGAGAGGATGGGCGATTAATGTCGGTGGAGGGTTTCACCATTGTTCGGCGGAGGAAGGGGGTGGATTTTGTGCATACGCTGATATTACGCTCTGCATTCAGTTTGCGTTTGTCCGTCTGGATATTTCAAGGTGAGAAGCCTATACTGGCTGGACTGTAGCTGTAGAAACTATGTTCCTTTAATCTCTGCAAACTATTTGTTTGGCTTATATAACATATGTGCTTGCCTGACAGCTGTAAATATATTCTGTCAAATATCTGTGTTGGTAAGCATCCTCTGTCATGCCAATCTTGCTTTATTCCCTAGGGATTTTGCTATGCTTGTTCGCATCTTCGCAAGCACCTTATGCTGCTTGGCTAGTTACCTAGTACATGTGTGGGCAGTGAATGCAAGGATGCAAACCAATATGTACATTGCTTACTAACTATTTTAGCTTCATAAGCACCTATTCCCATTTAAATACTTGCAGAGTAATGATCATAGATCTGGATGCTCACCAAGGAAATGGTCATGAGAAGGATTTTGCTCATGATGGTATGTCATATATTTTGTTCTCGTATGCATTTTGTTTTCACTACGATGACACAGTGATGCCGATTTTCACTTGCAGGAAGGGTTTACATTTTGGACATGTACAATGCTGGAATTTATCCGTTTGTAAGAACCACAATCTAGAATTCTTGTCACACCTGTGGAACGTCAATTTTTTGCTGCTGGTGGTTATGCTCTGACTACCCTTATGCAATATGTGGTTAAGGATTGCTTATGGTGTAGAGGTTATTTATCAAGAATTTTTGTCCGTGTCCTGGTGTTGAGCATAAGTTTTCTTCCCTATCCCATAAATGCATATTCTACATCATGTTTTGGAAGATACCATCCAGTTCTTTTTTCGAGAAAACGCAAAAAGATTTTGCGTTTCATTTCATTGAAAAGGAGAAGAGTTCGGTACAAATAGGCATTTACCAGAACTAAAAGAACAGCAGTCAGCTGTGTACATAAATCAATTTTTAGTGTTGCTATGATATCTATGACACCCACTCTTCGAAGATTAGTCTGTTGTTATTGTCACCAGCCTTAACTTCAGTCATTGTGTATTATCATTCCGTTTTACTTAGTACTAGTAATATTTCTTATGTTCTATGTGAACTGATGTGACTTTATTTTAGGATCATGCTGCTAAGCGATATATTGATCAGAAAGTTGAGTTAGTTGTAAGTTGGACTTTGCAAGCTGTTGATCATATTTTTCTTCATTTAATTCAAATATGAGTTGAGTGCACCATTGTGCATTTTCAGAGTGGGACAGAAACAGATGATTACTTGGATCAGCTTGACAAGGCTTTGAAGGTACCTTCACACTATTATAGATGGGGTGCTCGCTAATATTTGCATTTATAAATGGAGTTGTCCTATGCACTGCAATTCTTAGGGACAAATAGGTGAAAGATGTTATGTTAGGTGCCATATATTATACTACCTCTGTACCAAGATGTAGACGTTTTTTGGTTTTGCATAGGACATAGAAAACGTCTTACAGTTTGTTATGGATTGAGGGAGTATATGACATGATTTATGTTCTGAAGCTTATACTAAACTGGATGTAGAGGTGACTTTTAATATACTATTTTAGAATGTGATATAAAAGCATCGATGGTATTGAATGAAGTTATTTGCATCTATCTTCAACTGAAAAGGAGGTTTGAAATGGGAAAATAATATATGATGAGTTCAAAGCAGTTGGCACTTTCCCTTTAACTATTAATTCTTGTTGTCCGCAATTTAAATATAATTATTTTTACCAAACGCTATTTAGAATTCCTTTTGGAGCATGTTGTTTGCAGGTCGCCCAAACTAGATTCCAGCCCCAGCTTATTATTTATAATGCTGGGACAGACATCCTGGATGGTGATCCATTGGGCAACTTGAAGGTACTTCTCTGATCAACTCAATATTTTGACAAAGATCAGGTCCATAAGTAACTCCCTGTGCAGAATGTAGGTGCAACCTGCATAATTTTTCTAATGTTATTATCCTAAAGATTACAGAACTTAACCATGAACGCATAATTGCAACATGACTTGGTATGTTTCAATAATTCTCTTCCTAAGCTAGAATTTTCTGCCTACAACAGTAAACTGGAAAATAAATCATTGGGCGCAGAAGTATAATAAACAATAAATACTTATAAACAACATATTATTGCCTTTGTTTTGCTTGTGTTCCCTGCACTAATTAGTGTTATACTGTTATACTGCTGCTGCATGCTTTCTCCCCAAATTCTAGATAAGCCCTGAAGGTGTGGTGATCAGAGATGAGAAGGTGTTCAGATTTGCAAAAGATCAGAACATTCCACTTGTCATGATGACATCAGGTGAGCGGCTTCTCCTGCACTCTGTGTTTTTTGTTCCTTTCTGCGAATGACATACCGATTTGCTCATGCCCCACCCACCCCTTCTCAGGAGGCTACATGAAGTCGAGCGCACGTGTAATCGCAGATTCGATTACCAATCTCTCACAGAAGGACTTGATACAGCTAGGTAGCCAGCCAGACTAAAAGAGGAGCCTCTGCCACCCACAAGCGTTCAAACTGAAGGGCACATCCACATCCACTGGATGTATAGTGTGTAAGAAGAGGTTTACAGTTCTGTCATATTAGCATGTACTATAAATCACAAAAAGTCTTGTCACCTTGTACATACTGTCATAAGGCCTTTGTTTCCAAGAAGATTACGCAATAGGGAAGCTGAGAGCGCCATGATGACAAGAGAGATAACACCCGGAGATCGCCGTTGATCCCCATCGTCAAACTATACTATATACTATACGGGTTTCAGTTACTATTTTCTTGTGGGAAGCCAATAAATACTGCTTGAAGAATCTGCACTGTATAGATCTTGAAGGTTATCAAGAAGAGATATAGTATGATGTTTTTTTGTCATGCCGGCTTTCCTGACAAGACCATTTTTTGGGGCTTTCATCATCGGTTTGTTGGATGGTATCTGTTTTGTAATTCCTGCTACTTGGAACTCTGGTTCCTTCCCTTTTAGAATCATGACAGCTCTCGGCGGAAAGAAACAGATAGTTGAAGCTGCCAGGAAACCATCTTGGTAGTTTTTTTAGGGGTGACCATCTTGGTAGTTGGCACTGAACCACCGAGCTTCATCATCCAGTGCTCGAATTTGATGCCAGGCTACTCCTTTCAAACAAAATTCGTCAGTGCCTAGAGCCGACTCATATACTGTGCAGGAAGTTGACCAACTCTGGTGCCAGCAAAAAGGAAAATTCGGAAAACCGATTCATCTCATGTCAAAACTGCAACATCAGGCCTTGCATAGACGACAAGTAACTACTGTACTAACTATCAGCAAGCCGAGGACTACGTTACACTAAAATAGGAGGCCTTCAATCTTGACCCGACACTACCAAAACTCAACAACAATGCTACATGGGTAAAAGACGAGAGAAAAAAAAAAGAGAGGCCGCCATTGCGACCAAACACAGTCATTTTCCTGCCTCCTTCTCGGGCTCCCTGACACGGTCAATACTCAATACCAACATCCTGCCTACGGCGACCTTGGGGGTGGCACCGGCGGCGGCGTCTTCGTCACCGCGTCCTCGACGACCTTCGCCAGAGCTTCCTCGAGCCGTGTCGCGTCGACGGCGTCGTCGCCAGCCTCCTGCAGCAACATTTGAAAGGTTCGTCAGCCTCCGGTTAATAAGCTTCATCGGTAAGTACCCTGACCGCGTCTATGTCCAGTTTAAATTAACCCAGTCATGCCAGGTCGCTGGAACTCCTTGATCACTATCGTACGTATCTACTCCCTCCGTCTTATATTATGAGATGGAGGAAATAATACTCTGTCATTGTCAGTGTCGGAAAGACACATCAATTAAGAAACTAACTACGGCAGATGTTTCCTTGATGATGATATTGCATCAAGTCTGCATTTTTCTTAAACCGGATCAAGAAGGCATGGCAGCTGGCTGGCTAAAACAAGACCATGGCTAATTCGCAGCGCGGTTTGAAGAAAGTATTTTACTTGTGGCGGTGAAAAGTGAGACCTGGTTGAAGAGAATGCCTGAAGGAAGAGCGATGGCTCTGCTGCTTTGCTTGGTTTTACTTGGTCACATATCCAGTTTCTTGGTCATAATTCGTGGCCACATGGCAATGGAGCCTTGAAGGCTTGGAAACGTGTGTAATTCAGGCAGGAGTATATTCAGCTATATATGATTGTTTAACTGGTCAAAAGCGAGTCATGTCTGCTAAAACGTAAAACCAATTCAAACAGCCGGATTAACTTAATGCTGGTTTGACGCGTGTCCGGTTCTCAGGAAAACTAACTTTGACCTACCACAGCTTTCATCAGCGTAGTCGCTGGCTAGTCTAGATTCTTCGAATCTTCCGTAAAAATGGTCTAGCTGAGGTCAATCACGCTAATTTTCCCTTCCTGTCGAGCATGAAAGCTAGTCAACCCCACACCAAATTAAATATTAGTACTATCTCCTTTTCAGTTTGTAAGGCCCACAAAATTTCCTAGATTGATAATTTCACCAACAAAATATGAGTTACGTATCACAAAAATATAACATTATAAATATTCAAATGTTATGTTTTCTAACGAAGTAACTTTCGCAATATACAATTCGTATTACATACTAGGTTGAATTGTTGATCTAGAAATATGCGTGGGCCTTATAAACCGGAAAATATGGGAGTAATACTTCTCCGTGTGTGTTCTGAAATTTATCTTTGACTAAGGATCTTGAGTAATAAAATGTGGTGTACACCTTCCTTTCCGTTTGAAAGATTATATCTCTTTTGTTTCTTTTTTGCTTTTCTAATTTGTTAGTCCTATTTTTATTGCTCTATATCACATGTTTGGATTTCGATGCACATTAAATTGCTACATGCAAGGATTAAGGCTAGTCATAGTGAGAAGTATCATATACTAGTATCATGCATATGATACTAGTGTATAATACTACCTTCATAATGCATAGTATCATAAAGTAGTATCATAAATGATCATATTTATTGTCATGCATGACACAAAGTAGCATAACATTTAACATGACACGGTATCAACATATGTTACTCTAACCCTTTCTTTCTTCTTTAATTGTGTGTCACATAAGCATGTTTGCTAGTCCCAAGTGCATGTTACCGGTTATGTTACTCCCACTATGGCCAGCCTAAGGTGGTGTTTGGTTCTCTAGTCCTAGGACTTTTTCTAGTCCCAACTAAAAAGTTCATAGTCCCTAAATTATTTGTTTTCAGAGACTAAAAAGTCCCTAGTCCCTTTCTTAGAGGTTATTAAATAACCATGTTGCCCCTAGTATATAAAATAATAATAATTAAATAACACCATGGGGTGGCGGGCCAATGGGTGCATGGAGGGGTATTGTTGAAAAAGTCCCAAAAAGACTCTCCTTGAGAGTCTTCTTCATTTAGTCCCAAATGCCTAGTTTAGTCCCTAAAAAGTCCCTTCCGTTTGGTAAAAAAGTCTCTAAGAGGGACTTTTTCTAGTCCCTACACAAAAAAGTCCCTGGAAACAAACACCCCCTAAATGAAAACTCACAAATGCATGTAAATTCCTGCTCTGCCACTCATGCATTTGTTGTAGTTAATATAAATTAATACGTTAGTAAAGAAAAATGAATGCGTTAATTGAGTACTTTTGCAAACTACGAAATACATTTCATCACCCTCCATCTGTCTTAGTTGAGGAGATTTTTTAATTGATCCTGAAGGAAGGGAGCATGTGTCAAATAATTATACCATCCAAGACTTATTTCCAGTAGGAATCTAACAATATAATTTTTTTTAACGTTGGATTAAATTTGGTGGATTATAACATAAACCACCCATCCAAGAAGCGTGTCACTCACATGGTATACCCCAAAAACTGTATAGCGCTATATTTGTCTTGAAAAATAATTTTAAAATATTAAAAAAACAATATTCCATGTACATAGTTAAAAGAGAGGAGGTCAAAGTTACTCACGAGAGGCTATGCAAAATCCAAAACGTTCTACTAAATCAATGACGATTAATATGGATCGGAGGGAGTATTTGGGAACGAAATGTTAGTTGAACCCTACTCACTAGTGCAACACATGCGAACCTGTGGTTGGATGGTTAGAGAGACTGTGGTATCCCCAGCCCACCAGGGTTCAAATCTTGGTGTGCGCATTTATCCTGGATTTATTTCAGGATTTTCGGCGATGCGCATTCAGTGGAAGGAGACGTTCCCGTCGACGACGAGGTGCCTACGATAACTTCGTAAATCTCAAGATAATATGTCGGCTCAGTCTTTCGAAGGTGCTCATAAGGATAAGATGTACATGTATGCGTTTAAAGGGTGAGTGTATGCGCGTGTATACGAGCGCTTATGTGTTAAAAAAAAGTGCAACACATGCGACCATACGGAGGAAACGAAGCGGTACGACCGTACGAGCTCTTACCGCGATCCGCAATGTGAGGCTGGCCCGTGCAAGCGCGCTGCTCTGTTGTCTCGCCTCCACGGACAGCACGGCGAAGCCCCCGGCGTCCTTGAGCCGCGCGAGCAGCGGGGTCAGCAAGTCCGACATGTCGCACTCCGCCCGCACCGTCACCCGCACGCTCACCTCCCGCGACTGCTGACCTGGCGTCGCCGACGTCGACGTCGACGCCCCGGTGGTCACCTCCACCTCCACCGTTTTCCCCGGGGGGTCAAAGCCTGGGCTCTGGTTCAGGCCGAGCCGCGCTTCGAGCTGCAGGTTCTTCTCTCTGAGCTGGGACACCTGGGATACCAGCCTCGCCATGTACTCCGTCGTGCTCGCGAGGACGTTGGCCTTGTCTTTCTGCAGAACGAATGGAGTGAACGATCGCGATGAGATGCTGCTGTGAATCGTGCATCCATGGCTAGATGATCTTGGGTTTGGACTTTGGAGTCGTACCTTGGAACCGGGAGGGAGCAGAGCTCTGAGTGTCTGGAAGCTGTCGTTGAGCCGCTCGCGCCGGCGCCGCTCCGAGATCACGTGGTGCAGCTGGCTGGTGGTGGACGGCGCGCTGCTGCCCTCGGGGCGCGCCGTGGCGAGCTCCGTCCGGTTGCGCGTTGCCGTGTGCACGCTCGCCAGGAGGGAGATGCACGCCTTCATCATCCTCTGCCCTGGCGCGCCTGGCCGCGGCCGCGCCCTTGGCGAGAGCGCCGCGCGATACGGCTTGAACGCCGTCGTCCGCCGCGGCGACGAGCGGTGGCTGGCCAGCCAGGGCGGACACGGCGGAGGCGGCAGCGTGGAGGTGCTCGGCGGACCGGAGGAGGGGGTGACCGCGAGCATTGCCTGCGCCATTAAGGCATAATCGTCGGCTTCGGCCATCGGCGCGAGCAAGCCGGCCAGCGGCGACGCCTGCATCATCGGTGGCCGCGTGGATGGCTCGCCCGCCGCTGCTACCGGCGTCGCCATTGCGCGAATGAGAGAGGAGTACTCCGGGCTCCCGATGGAGAGTGACGGCACGGGGGAGGACGAGGACGACAGCCCTGTCGGCGGCAGCTGGAGGAGGTCCTCCAGGAA